CATGTTTGTCTATTATTAGGTAAGATATTATATATATATATATATATACATATATATATATATATACACACACACACACACACACACACACACACACACACACATTGAGCGGCCAGATTATTATGCGTTCAGAGATCATAATAATCTGGCCACTCAGTGAATGAATACCTGCTTAGTCAACTAATGAGTCCGTGGCTACTTTGAAGATGAATTATTGGTAAAATAGTTGAAGTTCATCCCTCAGCGTGGTCCCACCACCTGGGGATTGCTTTTCCCCACTCAGTCTTCACTTTCTCACAGTAGCTCCCGCGCAGAGATGACTAAGGTGGGCCTGAGGAATGCCTCCTCCTGATGACACAAAAGGAGAGTGGGAATGGAATTGAAGTCACTCACCCCGGAGGACACTGCGTCCACAGATTAGATATAAACGTCCGTGGGCAAGAATAGGTATAAATCCCGGCCAGAAAGAGGATGGACTTTGGAGGGAGGTGGTCATGCGTTCAAGTCCCGGTTCCTCTCCTTCCCAGGTTTGCACGTTGGCAATTTCTTCCAGGCGTCTGAGCCTCCGTGTCCTCGGCTGTAGAGGAGGTGTCTACATTACAGATGGTGAGAGCCACGGGCTACAACAGGCGAAGAGGATCGAACACACAACAGGCTCTCTCTACAGTGTCACTTCATTTGATACTATAGCAAGTCCTCTTAAAAAAAAAAAAAAAAAAAAAAAAAAAAAAGCAAACACTTGCCCGGCCAGGTTGCTCAGTGGTTACAGCATCGGCCTGCGGACTGAAGGGTCCCCGGGTTGAGTCCACTCAAGGGCATGTATCTTGGTTGCAGGCTCGATCGTTGGCCTTGGTTGGGCCCTGATACAGGCTCTTGAGGGAGGTAACCAATCCATGTGTGTGTGTGTGTGTGTGTCTCTCTGTGTCTCCCCACTCCCTTCAACTCCCTAAAAATCAATGAGAAAATATCCTCAGGTGAGGATTAACAAAAAATAAAATATAGCCGGGACTGGTTTGGCTCAATGGATAGCTTGGGGACTGAAGGGCCCCGGGTTCGATTCCGGTCAGGGGCATGTACCTTGGTTGTGGGCATATCCCCAGTAGGGGGTATGCAAGAGGCAGCTGATCGATGACTCTCTCTCATTGATGTTTCTAACTCTCGATCTCTCACCCTTCCTCTCTGTATAAAAATCAATAACATATATTAAATAAAAAATAAAAAAAATATAGAAATAAAAATAAAAAAGTAAGCACTTGAGAGTTGCACAGACCCTGACAGGGCTCCCATTTTGTCTCATTTTTTTATATTGAATGTCATACATAATGAAGTCTTCTTTTTTTAAACCTGCACACTTCACAGAATAGGCTGTTACAAACAAGAAGAATTTACCAAGTATTTCTTTATGCCATATTTTTTCCCCCCTTTCTGTCTTGCCAAGCATGGCATGTGAATGAACCCTCTCCCCAGCAATCATGCTGACATGGATTCATATCGGTATTCAGCGTAGACTCCCACGGCTCCTTAGGGGTAATTTTCAAATCTTGCTACACAAGTCGACACGCCGTTCTCATTGATAAATAACAGCTGCGCTGCCTTTACCCCCTGCGCACTATTTTGACAGATTGCTACCCTGAAGAAGTGTCTCGTGCTTAAAGAAAGGAATTTGTCTGAAGGGAGTGGGTATTTTCAAACCACACTTCTAAACTCAGTCAAATAACGGGAATAAAGGGGAGGCAGATGAGCGCTGGAGTAAAAGCGATAGCAGCGAATGAAAGAAATCTCAAAATAAAAGGAACAGAGAAGATCAAGCGATAACCAAGATCAAGAAAGGAGAGTGGGAATGGAAACTTTTCTCAGAAGCAGAGAAAATGAAAGTGTAACTGCCTTCTTATCCGGTGATGGGAGTTTTAAAAGGCATGACCGTGCTAATGAAATCGGAAACGTGGTCTTTCAAACCAGTGGCTTCACGCTTTGAAAAAAATTGTCTCTTTTTTTTGTTGTTGAGAATTTCAGGATAACGAGAACCAATTGCTAGAGTTAATAGACCCAGTACCTACATGTAGGTGATCTTCCATTAGCAATTTTAATAAAAATTATGGTTTCAAATAAATTGATAGTCCAGCTGATGTGGCTCAGTGTTTGAGCATCTACCCATGAACCAAGAGGTTACTGGTTCCATTCCTAGTCAGGGCGCATGCTGGGTTGTGGGCCTGATCCCCAGGAGGGGGAGTGCAGGAGGCAGCTGATGGATGTTCCTTATGGATGTTTCCACCTCTCTATCCCTTTTCCTCCCTCTCTAAAATAATCAATAAAAATAAAAACATATTTTAAAAAAAAGAAAGAAAGAAAGTATGCTGAAACCGGTTTGGCTCAGTGGATAGAGCTTCAGCCTGAAGACTAAAAGGTCCCAGGTTCGAATCCGGTCAGGGGCATGTACCTTGGTTGTGGGCACATCCCCAATAGCGGGTGTGCAGGAGGCAGCTGATTGATGTTTCTCTCTCATCGATGTTTCTAACTCTTTATCCCTCTCCCTTCTTCTCTGTAAAAAAATCAATAAATTTTTTTTAAAATAAATGAAGTGATAGTCTAACCCCTAACCATACCAAAGTGACTCACAAACATATTCTGTTCACTGAAGTACCAAGTAGTTTGTTGATGCCCAAAGGTAAAACCTGTAAGCCCCATTGCAGTGATTCCTACACAATGTTGACCTGCAGCCTGTGTTTTGTTTGTTTGTTTGTTTGTTTGTTTTCATGATAATAGGTTTTTGAAAAGAATCCAAAAAAATGTTGAGTTTCTTATGGACCAAACCCTCAAGACAAGTTTCTTAGTTGTATGGAAACCCTCTTCTCGGGGAATTTATTTCATAGTTTTTGTGAGTCTATCCTCAAGGTTCTTTTTTTAACCACTTGCCATTTCACTTCTTACAGTTGCTTTGTTGCTTCTGCTCCATCTCCCTGTCCTAAAAAAAAATGAGTTGTCTTTTCTGTTAGAAATCTCTCTCCATGGGTAGTAGGCTAAGACTCTCATTCCAAACAACCCACTCTTGCACCTGTTTCAATCTTTATTCTCCGAGTTTTGTTTATGCATCTTAGGGCGTTTACTAATCAAGCTCGTTTGGTGTGGTGACTAGTTATGGAGAGGAGGTGGACGTGGTGAAGGCTAGCGACTGCCCGCTGAGGATGCTGGCTCTCTGAATGCTTCCAAGGCAATTAGCACTTCCGTTACTTTGCCTAAAATCAGGGCATTTGTAGAATTTCCAAAATGCTTCAGCAGAACTATTTGGATGATGAATACATAAGCACAATTTATGGCACGTAGATTAAAACAATAGGAAAAGAACAATAGCCGTGTAAAACTATATAGCAGTCATTTGGAATTTTTTAAAAAGAGTATTGAAGGATGTTGATTTCAAGTGAAAGATTGTCGTATTAGTTCTCTCTCTATGTCTTTAGGATCCTCGTGACGAAATACTAGTTGTATTCCAAGACTAACCTTTGGTCTGATCTGATTTTATTTATTTATTTCTACTGTTGGTCCAATCTGATTTTAGACATAAACAATACAAAGCCCATTGGTTTTGGGAGCTATTGGACATGACACACACTCTTGAAAATAAAGGCATACGTAAAAGATAGTTAGGATGCAAAGCTGGGCACTGAATTCCTTGCTGGAATATTGTGAGAATTATAAATGAAGGCATTTGCAAGCAGGAGAGGTGAATATGAATTTTGCATGTGTAGGACCTTACCAGCTAGCCATAACTTGTAATGATGTTCGAGAGGATTCTATATCAGTGTATATGTGTTGCTAAAATATCAAGTTGAAATTTGAAAATTCAATCATTTTGAAATTTAAAAATTCAATCATTTTGATATATCCTTTACTTGAGATTTTTTTTTTAAAACCATTGGTATCTGAAAGCCTCATTGGAACACAGAAAGAAATTACAGTTTTCTGGCCCGAAGCTTGCCTGCCTCCTTATAGTTCAGTCATATTCTTAGTCACTGAAATAATTTAAAATAAATGTGGTCATTTTCTTTCATGCTTGAGTAGCCTGCGTAACAGTCAAGAGCTTCACGTCGTATTTCTTTCTTGATTACATATGTGCCCTTATTCCCCCATTACCCCCAACCTTCCCCCGCCCATGCCCTCAACCCCCCTGTTGTCTGTGTCCATTGGTTCTGACTAGCTGGTTTTAGCAAAGACAAAAATAAATATTAAAAGGATAATAGACTGTGTATAGAATTTCCAGAAGGGCTACAGAATCGACCGTATCTCCAGCACTATACTGATACCAAATAGATGTTCAATAAATATATATGTAAGGAACAAATGAATGTATGGTCCAGTCAGCTCTGGAATGGGCACAAGAAAAAGCAAGAAAACACGACCAGCAGCCGATAACACCATGGGCAAACAGGTGTGAACCAGACCAAAAAGAAGGTTCCGGGTGGTCGATGAGTTAAACTTGAAATGCGCTCTAGCTGGTTTGGCTCCCTGTATAGAGTGTCAGCCTGTGGACTGAAAGGCCCCAGGTTCGATTCCAGCCAAGGGCATGTACCTTGGTGGTGGGCACATCCCCAGTAGGAGGTGTGCAAGAGGCAGCTGATCGATGTTTCTCTCTCATCAATGTTTCTAACTCTATCCCTCTCCCTTCCTCTCTAGAAAAAAAATCAATAAAATATATATTAAAAAATAATAATAAATAAATAAAAAATAAACTTGGAATGCCTACTCCAGAACATGAAACAGACAAGGTGGGACTGGGCTGCTTCCTTCCTTCCTTCCTGAGGAATCATTGTCCCGGAAGAGAATTCCCCTGAGAGCTCAAGCTGGTCTCCACAGCTGTCATCAACCAGGTCAGAGACAACTCATTCGAAAGGATGGAGAAAGCAGCAAGTGCCTACTATGTGCTCACGGTGTTGTGTGCATTATCCCGTGTCATCGTCAGAATGACCCTGGGAAGCAGCTGCTATCGGTAGATCCATTTTACAGATGGGAAGATCAAGGCTTAGGGAGATCGCCTAAGGTAACTAGAAATTGGCAGAACCTGGCTTTGAACCCACGTCATATTGACTCCAAACCACCCCCCTTCTTTAGAACCAGGCATTGCTATACAACAGAAACTTCAACTGTCAAAGTAGGTTACTGCACAAGACACTTCTGTTACAAACTCCAGTAGATTCGCTGTCAACTTATCCCGTTATTTCTCATTTCATTTTTTTTTTTTTTTTTTTTTTACAGGAGAAATCAGCCTCCTCTTGGACTGGCTCCTGCAGGGGGGAGGAATGGAGGGCTGAGCAAGCTGCTCTCCAAGGTTCTGAAAAACCAGCCTTGGAAATGGTAAATGGAGGTTGCCAGAGCAAAGGTAGCATCGTTTGATATTGGCTCTTCGATTTTTACACTCAGGGCAGAGCCATCTGTGAGCGGATGAAAAATGAAATAATTACGAAAGGCAGGCAGCTCTTAAGAAACGAAGTTTTCCCCACCACCCACATCCATCCATTCGCCGACACGAAGGGAGGTGAGCTCTGAAAAAACAGACTTCTTTCTCCAGGGCTGGCTTCCCTGCCAGGAACGTCTGAGCTCACGATGGGAACTTTCCGAGGGCTGCGGCATACCTACCCGCCGGGTGATGCATCATCGGCCCGGGAGCGTGGCTGGGGCCAGGCTAAGCATCTGGAACCAGGGGTACCTGGTGACACAGGCAAGACTACAGCCAGTGGGGTGAGGATCGGAGCGAGCGCTGGCAGCCAGCGCGTCTGGAGGAAGAGAGGGAATCAGAAGGACAGGAGGGGCGTCGAGCCATGACACACACATAGAGAGAAATAAAAATGAAAGGCCCGAAGGGGGGCCCATCCTGGTGGCCAGTGGCAAGTCGTGGCTCTCATTTCAGGGGGAGGCAGGTATCATCTGTTCTCCCTTCACTCCTGATACCGACCGCGGCGATGCTGTTTCCTTCCAAGTCTTCCTGTGCAGCTCCACAGGGGTTGACACTGGGCTGGGCTGACATCTGCTGCTCCTTCTTGCTGCATTCTGTGCTATTTGGAGATGTTCTATTGATATCATCCTTCGTTGACCTTGCCTCGCTCTGTCTCTCCACACCCCCCCCCTCCTCCCAGCGCTCCTTCCGCTGTCCTATTTGTGGCAACGGCTTCAGTCCACTCACAAGGGCTCTTTTATCTGGGAGGCCTGCTCTTGCTTTTGTTTCTCTTGTCTGTTTGGAGTTCGCTTCTTGAGAGGAAGCCAGCTTTGCATCCTCTCGTGTCCTTGAGGAACTGTGGGACGTAGCTGGCGTGTTAGAACCAGCAGGTAACGCTCTCCTCGAATTCTCCATAGCTCGTGGCGGTCTGTTTAGCAGCGTTAGATGTTGGACGATAAATAGCCGTGGTCCTTTGCAGAAACGGTCAGCCTGCCCTTAGACTCGCAATCCCAAGCCAGGAGTTCCAGAGACTGCAGGCGCTTAGAATAAATACATGAGCGGAACCCAGCTCTTGTTGTGCGGGTTCTGACTTAGGCTGTCCGGACTCTGCCATCGCCGCAGCCAAAGGTGGGTTTCTGCCCACAGAATCCTAACTGCTGTGACGGTTCTGTCTTGCGAGAGAAAAATATGAAACAAAGGCTCAAAATCATAAGCTGAGTCGGGAGGAATTCTATATGCCAAATGGACAGGGGTTGGCAAAAGTAGGGTTATAGTTGTTTGTATGGAAAAAGATAAATATTATTAATAAATAATACAATAATTACTAAGTAATACAAGAATATACTGTACACCTACATTTTCATAGATTATAGATAGAGATAGAGAAATAGATACAGATATAGATGATTAGATGTATATATAGATATAGCTATATAGATATAGAAACAGATACAGATATAGATGATTAGATATAGATATAGATATAGATATAAATATAGATATAGATATAGATATAGATGATTAAGTAGAGATATAGAGATAGATGTAAATATCTCGAGTTTTTACTGAAGTGCCTTTGGATTTGTACCAAGTGAGAAGTATCATGACTTCTTAGTTGCTAACTTTGTCACAGAAGTCTATCATCAATATTTACTGAGGGCTCGCTTGTACACACAACAGTAGAAGGCCAAGCTTGTTGTTTGTTTGACTATTTAGATACAACGAATGGATTTCAAAGTCTGTTTACCAGAGATTCACCACTGATCATGTCTTTGATGTACCTTCTCTTTGGATTTAACATCAGAGGTTAACAAACTTGAAGATAAGAGGAAAGGATTAATCCTTGTACCCAGATGCAAGGATACAAGGGTTTTCCTGGTTTGGTGGGAAGGCTAGGCACATAGAGTCAGAGGATCTAGGACTAAACCCTGGTCCTGTTACTTACACGTTGCTAGACCTTAAGCAGGAGACTTCGTATTTTTGAGCTCTTGTTTTCCATCTCCAGAGTAAAGAGGAAAACCTGTCCTAACTATATCACAAGATTATCACAGGATTACATGACACCATGATGGGAACAAGCTTTGTAAACTGCAAAATACCCTACAATGTAAGGGATTGAGAATTATGATGAGAATTTAATATGATGACTGAGAGATGTGCCAGCTGGCAGGATTAAGGATCATCATTCCAATGTGCAGGCTGGGCTGAGGGACTACTAGTAATAATAGTAGGAGAGGCCTAGTGCATGAATTTCGTGCACTGGGCCTCTAGTACTATTATAATATATTCACTCTGTGCTTCAGTGTTTTTCTTCTGGCCTTTCATTTCGTTGGTGAATTTAAACTGAAAAAAATCATCAGTAGAGGTTGGAAGTAACTCACCTCGACAAAGCTCTTTTCATGTTAACAATATCTTTGATAACCAAGTACATAAAGAGGATCATTCAAACAATCTAAAACATTCCACTGGAAACAAAGCAACTTTACACAGTTCTGATTAGTTACCCCCCCCCCCCCCCCCGGGCACTTCAAGTGGAGCAGGGCCATGAGGGGGGTTTCTAGGAGATGCGACCCCAATGAGGAGAGTTCTAGAGGCTTCGAGAATGTTCTCAGAACAGTCTCTCCTGATGCCTGTTCTCCGGGAAAGGGCCTATACCATTTCTGACAGCGACTGGGCAGAGGCTAAGGGGAAATGGTTACTGAAGAATTGAGGAGAAGATTCAAATGCCAGACAGAGGTTTGGGCTGGGTCAGTAGTTCCCAATTTAAGGCATCAATGTCCCCCCCAAAATTTTTAAAAAATCAACTATCACAAACATTTTTATTTATTTATTTACTTAAAGAACAATTTTATTGATTTCAAAGAGGAAGAAAGAGGGAGAGAAAGAAACGTCAATGGTGAGCGAGAATCGTTGGCTGGCTGCCTCTTGCATTCGAGCCCACAACACGGGCATGTGCTCTGACTGGGAATGGAATCTTGACCTCCTGGTTCATAGGGTGATGCTTTAACCACTGGGCCACACCGGCTGGGCACAAACATTTTATTTTTTTTAAAAAGGGTTATCTTCCCATGGGGGAGAGGGGAGAGAATAGATAACTATAAAAATCAGAGAATAAACAACAGTCTGCAAATATAGTCATTCAGTTTATTGAACAAATCATTCCATTGCCTTTAGATTTCCTTTTATTGCCAAGTAGGGAACTTTCTCTAAACCAGTGTTCCGTAAACCGTGGCTGGTGAGCCACATGTGGCTCTTTGGCCCCTTGAGTGTGGCTCTTCCACAAAATACCCCCTGCGGGCACACACATACAGTGCGATTGAAACTTCGTGACCCATGTGCCGAAGTCGGTTTTCGGCTCTCCAAAGAAATTTCCATCATACTTATTGGTTATAGCATGTGAGCAGCTATTTGTAAGGCTGGGAATAATCTCCAGTGCCGAGAGTCTCTGAGACTACTCAGGGTTCTGATGAAAAATGATTTGGCACTTGAATTCTGTTCCCTCATCATCTCACAATGAATTCACTTACAGAGCAAACAGAAAGAAAAGGAAAAAAAATAGGGAGAGAGGAGTAAGCTAGAGAATTCTGCAGAGTTCCTCTCTTGATAAAACCGCACAGGCTGTTGGGATATTATCGAAGGGGATATGTGACATTTTCCACAGGTGGAGGGAGGGGCAAAGTTCTGTTTCTCAGGAGGCCAAGCCGTGATTTCGGTTGCTGCTCTTTGCCAGGAGAATGGGATTCGTCTGCTCGCTTCTGTTTCCATTAGTTGTGAGTTTCTCTGCCTCCCAGCTCCAGCTGAGAACCTGCCTCAGCTTAGCTCATTCCAGAGAGATCTGGTCCCGCTGGGAAAGGGTCACAGGATAAAAGTCTCACCATGTAGGCTCCTAAGAATCGCAAATCTCCGCTATTTTGCTCAGCCTGAAATCAAATGTTATGAAAGTATGGTTTTGTTTTCTCCTAGCCATAATCAGATAATCACCAGGCTGGACCCTTGTATATATTGATTGAGAGAAGGAGAGAAAGAAATATCAATTAATTGCCCCACTTATTTGTGCCTTCATTGGTTGCTTCTTGTATGTGCCCATTCCGACTGGGAATGGAACCCACAACCTTGGCACATCAGAGATGATGCTCTAACCAGCTGAGCTACCCGGCCAGGACCAGGCTGGACCATTTGAGTTGGAAGCTCAGGAATCAGGATGAATTGTTTCTTAACAGAAAAAATAATTTTTTTTATTTTTATAACAAGGGGTGTATTTCCTGTAAATGGAATGAACAAGATTGTGGCTACGCAATAATAGTTCACATTTTTATGTAAATGTGTTAGACTAGGGGTGTCGAACTCAATCAGAGAAGGGGCCAAAATCTAAAATCCAGCCTAAATCGAGGGCCGAATGGTTTACTGAACACTCATAAACTGTCATTGTGATGGAAACGCAGCGGAGTGCAGTGATGACAGCGCGGTGCGGGCCACATTGCAAGGCCTGGCGGGACAGATTTGGCCCTCGGGCCTTGTGTTTGACACATGTGTGTTAGACACAGCACTTACGTTGGGCATGTCAGGCACTCTCTGCCCGGTGGAGTGGCTGCAGTGCATCATAATCACTGTTTCTGTCAAAGCTAGGTTTCCTTTCTAAAAGTTCCTAGAAGAACCGAGTGGATTTCCAGTCCTTGTTTCCTCCCGGTGTCAGAGCCCGTCCAGAACCTCAGCAAACGTAGGATAATGGGTCCGGGGGACATTAGTCATGTGACACCGATGCCCATGCATTCATTCACTCATTCATTTACTCAATGAGTAGATATTTTAAATACTTTTTAAAAAATATGCTTTTAACTGGAGAGAGAGAGAGAGAGAGAGAGAGAGAGAGAGAGAGAGAGAGAGAGAGAGAGAGAGAGAGAGAGAAAGAGACGGGGGCAGGGGAGGGGGAGAGCCAAAACTGGTTTGGCTCAGTGGATAGAGCGTCAGCCTGCAGACTGAAAGGTCCCAGGTTCGATTCCCGGTGAACTCTCCACTGAGACCTCTCCCACGCACGATTCCACGACTCCCCCTCGGCCCCAATCCCACCCTCCTGTCTCCCTGATAGACTTACTCATTTGTTAAACCTCGTCTCACACACTTTTCCTCCAGTGGTACCTTCCCTGTCTCCCAGACAGTGCCAGATGCTATAAAATTCCGTGAGAGCAAGCATCACATCCACAGATCTGTCTCATCTGTCTCCAGCAAGGATGGGAAGGCAGGGTTTGCTCGGTGATTCCTAGCAGCTAGTCCCCTCCCAACTCGGATTGGTGCAAAAGCCTGGCAGCTGACCCCCTACCCTCTTTGGTACCCAGGCCCAGGGGCTGGCCCCCCTCAGCTCCACTCTGTTCTCTGAGAAGCCTTAGTGAGCAATTACGTACTGAACACTTATCTGCGCCAGTCTCTGAGAATGCAAAAACTAAGGTAGTCCCTGCCCCCCAAGAGCTTGGAAGGACGGATGAGCATCAAATAACACAATGTGCCCAGCCACTTGGTTCAATGGTTGAGTGTCAGCCAATGTACCAGGAGGGCTGATGGTCAGGGCACATGCCTGGGTTTCGGGCTTGATCCCCACTTATGGGCGTGCAGGAGGTAGCCAATCAGTGATTCTCTCTCATCATTGATGTTTCTATCTCTCCCTCTCCTTTCTTCTCT